TGTCTAGCCTCCTGGAGGTGTCGTGGGACCAACTAGATGAAACACTGGTGAAAGGAGGTTCCCACCCGATGACCCCAAAGACATGCTAGTTATCACTGCTCATTGGTTTGTATAGTTAAGCCTTGCCATATTAGCTTATCATAGGGCTTAGGTTTTTCACTGAGTGTTGATCCTTTCTCTAGAGCACAAACTTCTTGTGTTTATTTGAACTAATGTCATTCTGACTAGTCAAAACTACAGTTACAGATATCTGTAATTCAGTTTTGACTAGTAAGATTCAAACTATTTTTGCCATTCATGTGTATGGGGTTTGTCATTATAGATATCTACCATTGCATTATGACTATGGCAAGCCGTTTTAACATTTAATCACTAAGTTTGACTATCCGGCTTGCCATACACAGGTGTATGCATGCCTACAGCTTGAGTTTGTGTCAGCAATGAGAAGCTCTGCCCATGCCCCTGGCTGTGATTGGACAGTTTTTCTCAGTATGACATGTACTGTATTTTGCATTTAGTATTGGCAAGTCTATGCTGCCCTCTGTTGGACAACACTGAAATGGTGCAATGCACCTCTTCACTTTGTTTTCTGTGTTGTGATTCTAGTGTAGCATTCACTTTATTTGCTTTGTTTAATTAATTTTTTTTTGGCATGTTAAAGGGGAACTACGCCAATTTTCAAAATTCATACATGTTATTTCTATGGTCTAAGACAGTCCAAAAATATTGGTAAACATGAGCAACTCTAGAGTGCTAAAACTGACATTTGTGATGTCATACCATTAAGTCTGAAGATGCTGTGCACAGAAATTTTGTGGGGCAGTTGCTCAAGTGAAAAAATGGGCATCCCTTCCACAGAAAGTTTTTGAATGCGGGCATGCAGAAATTTTTATTTGTTCTCTTGCAAAGTGCACCCTGCCAGGAAGTTTCTGTGTGTCTGCCAGCACCAGAAGAGCTATTGAGGCCTAAGTACACACAGTACATTTGTGCACAGTTATGAGTAAGGGAAATGTTTGTCTGAGATGTCTCAAACTCTATACTATATGTACCTAGCAGCTGCTACACATGCACATTCTCTTTCTACATTTATCATTTATTTATAATGGGCAACAACAAAGAAAAAATGCCACATTGTACAGGCTTTATAGGTCTATTAACTCAATCACCATTCACAATCAACAAAACTTAACACAAAACTGATAAATGCTGTTCTCTGAATAAATAACCAACAAACCAATCTACCCTCCAATCTACAAAGTAGGCCTCTGTTCAGTTATAACAATCAGGCTTCAAATGCATTCAGCCCTCCTCTCCTCCTCTAACTTTATTCTCCACTGCTTTCCATTGCACTCCTCTTCTCATTTTCTTCTCCAACTCTTTCCTTTTTAAAAAGTCACATATTAGTTCTTAAAATTATCTCCTTAACAAGCCTCAATAAATAATCCTAAAGAACAGACGCGTGCAGTGGCTACAGTTTTGTGCTCCTCCTCTGTGCTCTTTGTGCACAGCATGTTCGTGCAGCACCAAAAATCATTTCAGATTTGTTTGAAATAATTACCAGAGCCAAGATGTGGAAACAATATTTTAGTTTGGTTTTGCTTTAAAAAGTCATGTAGAAATGGGTAAGGAGTTCCGCTTACAACAGGCAGTTGGTGGCAGGGAGGGCAGAGGGGCAGAGAGTTGGAGGGAGACTGTGATTTGACACCAGACTAGTTTGTTGTTAAGCTTAATGTTGGTTTACTGCCTGAGTTAGTCTGGCTGTATTTAGATGTTGTAATAGTGGTTAAATTTTACAAAAGTGACAAACAATGTCAAGGCTTAGGGCAAACACTGTTGTTACCTGACTGTCCACGCATGTGGATCAGGGAGATGTGAATGCTGCTCTGCAGGATGTTCGATTTGTGTTTGTTAACTGTAGGGACTGTGACAGGGGATGTTAAAGAGGGAGGGGCAGGTCAACTCAAATGCAGTCGTCAGGCACTCAGCACATTTTAAATTGAGAATTGATACCATGGGCCACATTTAAAAACTCAAATGTAAAATGATTAAAAGAAATAGAAAAACATGTCTTACAAAAAGGTCACTTATAGTCAGAGGCCAAAAGGGCTGTTGCTTGGGCACCACCTGGGGTCTAACTATGCAAGTGCTTGTAGCCAATGAAGTTTATAGTTATATTTTCTGTTTCCCAACTGGGAAAAGTTACAATAGAATGAAGCTCATTTGGGTATAAAAAAGAAAAAAAAAACATACTGTGGATCCATTACACCAGGCTCCCATTCATTGTCGATGGGGCAGCTCTACACCTCATACTGATGACATCACAGGTTCAAGACTTTTCTGGCTTTGGGAGAGAGTAGCTCATACTCGCAAATATTGATCGAACGTTAGATCAAGAAAGTAACATATTGGAATTCTTAATTTAGGTGGTGTTCCACCTAAATCACCTTTAAATCTTTTATACATGGAAACTGGGTAACCAGAGTTTAAACCCAGTGACAACACCCCCCCCCCCCCAGTTAAACGAGACAATACATGATGGAATGGAATTGAAGCACGTATCACAGGGAGAATAACATTTATTTTTAATTTCGGTTGTGAGAAATTTTACATATAAATATATTGCTACATTGCTTATCATTTCCGTAATCAGTAGAGCTACAGTGAAAAGCTGATTTATTGATTTATAGAAAATTCCTTAGAAATGATTTTGATAATAAAATATTTGTTTTAGGATTTTTAAGGAAAATTGGTGTCTGAGGAGGTAATGGAATTGATCCACAGGGTTTGGTGGTTTGATCCCCAACTCCTCCTGTTTTCATATTTAGGTGTCCTAGGGCAGGCCATTACTTTGGCAGCTTTCATTAGCGTAGCATGTGTGAAGGAAAGGCGAGTTGTAAAGCATTTTGGATAGAAGTACTATATAAATGCAATCATCTGAAAATGTTTAAACATACAGGTAGAATATCTTTTGAATTTCATGATTTTCCATACCAGTGGAAAAGCACAGCCACTGAATAAACAAGCCTCACACTGACATCACTGTGGTCCATGGGATTAAACGTAATAAGCTGCTTTACGTTGAGAATAGAAACAATAAGAAGTGGAGCAGTCTGAGAAGTGCAGACAATGTGTCTGTGATGTGGAGAAGCAGCAGCAGCTGCTCTGCCTGTCATCTTCCTACCTGACACTTGAATTTTGATAGCACTCATCAGGACTTGACAGCAAAAGGTAAGTCAGCTGTTCATTTGAGTTACTGAAGACGTGTACAAAATATTATCCACCTGGTGCATGTGACCCCCGAGAGAGTCAAGCTTTTTAACATGCACTCTAATAATACAGCTTCTTGCCAGCTCTTTGCTTTGCAAGTTATGCACTGATTGTCTAAATGACTTTTCTTTACATTTTTTTTTTCAAACTTTTATCAAGAATTGAATGTATGCAATGCGCACTTTGTCTCTTGTGATCTGGAAAGCATCTGTGTATCTCATAAAATTGTAGAAATATCAATATTATAAATGTTGTAAATATTTGACATTGAGATATTTTTCAGTTGTACTTATTCATAGACAGTGTTCATTCATAAATCCTTTACTTTAGAGCAGCTGCCTGATCAAGGATCTGTTGGATCTGTTGGCAGGAACAGTAGACTACAGGTGTGTGAATGACATGTTGTGATCAATCGTTTTAATTTGCCTTTGAGTACTTTTAATATTCTCTTTTGAACAGTGCCGTGGTTCAACTTTTGATGTCAACATTTTTGGTGAAATATGTTTTCTGTGTTTCCCAGGAACTGTGCTCATGTCAGTATGAGAATGAGACACTCTATTGACACAGAAGACATAATTTCTCCTTGTTATTATTATTATTTGTACTATTGGTGGTGTTGTCATTGTTATTGACCTAGAAATTGTGGACGTTTTATTTCCCCATATTTACTGGGAAGTCCCAGAAATTCCCTTCCAGCAAGGGTTGAAAATATGTATCCCAAAACAATTTGGCAAATGTGTATTGAAATTTACAGTTAAAATATCAGGATGCAACTTGATATAATAATAACAAAGAAGTAGAAGAAGTAGAAGAAGAAAACTCTTTATTTTCTTTGACTTATCTTGCAGTTAATGTGAGGCTGTGGTGGACTTCAGAATGAGCAAGAGGGGGAGGAGGAGGAACAGCAAGAGAAGGAAGAGCTCCAGCAGCAGTAAACGTGAGTCAGAGCTTTGAGTCGATGGGAGGGTGGAGTGAGGTTAATCTTGTGCTTAGCTGAGTCACATTTTTTCCACACCTGCACGCAGTTTGCCAAAATTTGGTATTCTTCAGTACAGTACAGGACTGGAGATGGCTAATGGGTTTTATAGATTAGATCTTATAAGGTTAAAAACATGTTAGGCTCCCAGTCGGAGTGATCAGAGCAGGTATTTGGAGCAGTCAGCCAGTGTCATGGCAGAGAGTGCAAATGTTGCCTACACAGATTTGTTTCTTTTCCTCCTGCTCATCAGTCCTTGTTGCTGAGAAACAGACTCATTCATAAAAAAAGCCCTTTTTAAAAAAAACTGAAAAGGCAACACTGCATGTCACTGTGAGAGATGATAAAATGCAGTCAGCAAGGTCGCTTTAAATACAACTGTTAGTCTCATTGGTTTAACTCTGGAACTCATGCCATTTAAAATCAGACTGGGGCTGTTTATAGGGCCTCTTAAAGGCTCATCTTAATTGGCTATATGTCCACAGGTGTTTCTAAAATTTTAGCGTATGCACCTACAGTACAAATCTTTTATAGATGCACCTAAATAACTTTGATGAGCTCAGAGGTTGGAATAGAACTGCAGTTACAATACATTAAAGGGTAACTTTGACCCTATTTTCCTATGTATTTGTGTCTAAGTGACTGATGTGAACAACATGTAAATGGAATGGTAAATGGACCTGCATTTGTACACTGGTAGCCTCGGCCACCATTAAGGTGCCATCTGCTACTAAGTTTTTTACACAACAATGGAAGCATCATCGGGAGCAATTTGGGGCTCAGTATCTTTCGCACGGATACTTAGACGTGCAGACTGGAGGAGCCAGGGATCGAATCACTGAGCCTCCTATTGGTAGACGACCTGCTCTAGCTATGAGCCACACCCACATGTGAGATCCAATTTTAAGAGAGAATGGCTCAATGCCTTCAATATAACTAGATGGAGCAACTGTGCATTATCTCTCTATGTCCATTAAAAGTGTTTTCTTTGACAGAGACAGGCTCAGAATGTTACTATAAGTGTCTGAAGTTTCTATTTACCTTTAGCTTGATTCGGTTTGTTTGATATTGTGTCTAAGTCTTGCTCAAGTCTCGCTCTGAAATCTCAGGTAACTTGTTGCAGGGAGACCATGCTGCTCATAAGTATCTCTATGATTTCTCCTCATGTATAGGATGTGCAAATGGAGCATAAAATTGGTCCTGTAAGTTGTATAGTACCTAAGTATAAATACATTTCTACACCATGCACACACACACACACACACACACACACGTTGCACTGATAATGTCAGCTTGTTGATATCACTTATTATACTATTATGAATCAAATGCTAAAAGTGGCAAATCAATCTATATAGATTTTTTTTCATAATCATTGCTGAGTCAGTTGATATTTTGCACCTACTTTACACCTACTTTATTGAGTAATTGTTTTTGCTCTTATCTCACCATGCTTTCTTGTGCATGTTACGCCAGGTCAATGTATGGTAACTTAATTTAATAAAATTACCTCCACTCTGTCTGCATCAGGTATCTCCACTTTTGGAACAGCAGTTTTCTTTAGAAAAATGTGCTCTGTATTTCTTCTCATCTTTGACTGGCTGGTAGTCATCTTAGATTAGCTGTTCAGCTTAATGGTGATTCATAAAAAGAGAACCAGCTTCGTAGTACTGAAATCCCAGAGTTAACCCTGAAGTTACCTCGCTTACTCCAAATCCTGCTTCGTAGTACAGGCCTCAGATCAAGTAAAAGGTAAAGAGACACTTCAGACGCTTATAATAACAATCTGAGCCTTTTTGTGGCACATATATCCCCTTTTAATGGGTGTACAGTGATGGTGCACAATTGCCCCATCTGGTTACATTGCGGCTGTTGTGCAGCTGCCAGCTGCAGCCCTCTCTCTCAATACTGGACCAACTGCAAAAATTGCTTTTCACATTAGTCACTTACACACAAAAACATGGGAAAATTGGGTCTAGGTTGAAAAATGCTTCCCTTTATGTATTTTGCTTACAATACAATCTGATAAAAATATTTGATTGTGTTGAGTAAAATCAAATGATGAGTGGGCGATATAGCTAAAACCTGATGTTAATGTTGCAATATGAATGTATTTTGTGATCCGTGTGAAAAAAATCTTTTTACATAATTTTATAGTCCATACATTATTTTGATATACTTTTTCTTGGGTGTTTTTTTTGTTTTTTTACTTTCAGAGAGCGTCTCACCATACATCTTTCAAAAGCATAACAAAAGTAACAGTGTCAGCTACAGAGATGACATTGTTGAAAAGGGTGAGGCAGACTCTTTTCGAAAGGAAAATGTCCAGTCAGGATCTGAAGATGAGGAAAAATATAACAATGCTCCACCTACGGAGAAAAGATTTAAACAGGATTATCATGTGAATCCATTTCCAAACCAACGGAGTATTTATACCAAAACAACAGAGGACAAGGAGAAAGGAGTGAGGATAGTGACGTCGGTGTCTGTTAATGACATGGAAGATTCATCACCAAAGTTCGTGTTTCAGCAGTCACATGAACCTTTAGCTGAAAATATAACCCACTTATCAACACCAGTGACTAACATCATGAATATTAACTGCACCGGGTCACATGTGAAAGTCGAAATTCAAGAATTTTTACAGCTGAATACTTCCGGCGTCAAGACCACGTTTATTTTCATGAATGAAAAGGGTGACTGTGCTGGAACATTTTTAAAGAGCAAATGTGAGAGGACGTGGATACCAAACAATGAGTCATCTGAGCAGCCGTCACACAATGTGACTAATCATGATGGCAATCAAAACACAAATTACACATTTACCTTTGGCAGCATGAGTGAACAGAGAGAGGCTCATAGTGATTTAGAATCTGTCAGTCCAGCAAACATATGGGACAATCCGAACTACTCTCAATACTGCAGTGATCACAAACAACTAATATCAACTGACTTTATGTTGGCAAATCATCCATCAAGCCCATCACCGATGTTTAATATCAAACCTCAAGGAAAGAGGAAATATTTCCACACCAGCATGAGTAGTGATCAGTTCTGGGACATTCCTCCACCCCGAGAGTTTGCAGACTCTAAATGTAACACTTTAGAGGACCTAACACGGGACCTAGCTTCCTGTAAGATTGGCGCATGTAGTCATGCTGACAAAGTGAACATGACCCATCATGAAGAATCTGGATGCCCATTTTCTGTGGAAGCAGAGGAAAGAGCAGATCTGGCTCCTTTGTTCGATCAGTTATCAGAATCTGCCAACTACAGGTCCACGCTCATGAGGCCCTCTGTGTCTACCAGCAGGTCCAGCTTCACCAAAGATTTCATCAACTGTCAAAAGAGAAAATCATGGATTAGAAACAACAGCATTGCCACCGTGGAGCACAGAGCATGTTTGTTACCAAAGAAAAGACGCCAAACATTTCCCGGGATGTCAGATGATCTGGGAGTGATGCAAGAAGATCTTCTGTTGCCCTACACTGAATCCTTTTCTTCTTTGATCATGTGCTCACTTCCTCTCCAGAATGAGAGGATGGGAGGGATCCACCAGGTCACTGACAGGTTCTCTGCATTCAGAGAAGGAAATTATGATTCTTCACAAACCAAGCGGAGTTCTAAACCTGTCTCAGAAATCCAAAATAGCCATGACGGCAAGCAGTCATTGCTCAGTGAATTCTACTTGACCAGCTCTGAGGACAATCCTGACGATGTGTTCACTGTCAATGAACAATGTCGAAGACGAAGCAGCATCGGATGCCGTTGTAAAGAGCTCAGATTACAGGACATAGATTTAAAGCAGAGCCTTTGCAGGGACATGGGAAGTCTGGACACTGAAGATTTTGGATATAAAGTTGATCAAAGTGAAATAGCAGACAGTGGATTTGACCAAGAAATGGGGGAAACAGAATATCACAGCCCAAAGCCCCTTAGAGAGAAGCTCAGGCGAAGAGCCCTTGCTATACAAATCACCCCTCCGTCCTGCAGTGGCTCAGAGGAACACATGCTACAGAGCCATCCTGAAACATCACTCCACAACATTGAGGTCCAAAATGAAAGCCAACAGGACTCTGTCTCACCCAAACATAATAAGTCCTCGGTCATGACAATAACTGTTGGTGCACTTGAGCCAAGATCCCTGCAGATGGACTCAAGCTCATCACTGGGTAGTTGTACGGAAAAACATCTTACTACTGCTTCAGAAGAGCCCTGCATGTCCCCTTCGCAGGATGTAAATGGTAATCCATTAAATACAGAGGAGGGTACAGATCAGACTGAACCCAAGCCATGTGGTGAAAAAACAGGAAATGCCAGCTCTTCTCAGTCACTAATGTTTGAGCAGAAAAATGATCTGCAACTGGACACAGCAAGAACAGATACAGAGGGTTCAGACAAACCTGCAGTCACAGCATCGTGTCCTGCCAAAGGTTCTACAGACACTGAACTCCATGCAAAAGAGCAGCTCTGTAAAACGGACAAGGCAGATAAACAGATTGTATCCAGATGTAAGTTACAATTGTGTTTGTGCTTTGAAGTAAATATTGAACAAATCATTTCAGTTCAATATTTATATAAAACTCACCCATTGGGACCATTAATCATCATTTCCAGCTTCCTTAGAGGCCAAAGAGCATCTGAAACCTGTGACAGACAGCAGTGGTACTGACCATTGGGCCAAGAGGCGAAAGCTCTTCAAGGAGAGCAAGCAGTGGAGCTCTGCTGGAGGAAGCTCAGTCACAAGTGACATCACAGAGGAATCAGGTAACTTCATGGCTAAGCTTGGACATATCTCCAAGAGCCTGTTAACCGTAACACTTAAGTTAGTGTCCCAGGCTATTATTTGCTTAAATCACTGAACTCAGCAGACTTATATTTGGGACAGGTGTCTATATGGGATGGGCTTTTAATTCCTTTTACATAAAACTGTTGCTCAGCAAAGATAGAAAATACGATCAACTTGTTCATTTGAGCCAGTATGAATAATACTTGGATAAAAATCCGGCCATTCTTTTGATTTAGCTCAGACAGACAGGGCATCAGAGAGCATTATGGCACCTAGCAAACTGACACAACACTACTTTATTCTGTTAAAACAATATTCATAACTTGGATTGATTTTTATGAGAAAACCCCTTTAATTCTATTGATTGGTGGACCCTTACAGACTAAAGGAACTTACCGAGTAAGTAAGGAATGGATTCATATTCTGACTTTATGACAGTTTCACAGGAAGGGAGTCACCACTTGTTTTTTTGTCATGCCAGTAAATCTGAATGAATTATGAGCTTTTCTGGTGCTCATAGTTTCAGTTAAATGAACTGAGCGATTTAATTGTGGAGAATCTAATCAATCAATTTTATTCATAAAGCCCAATACCACAAATCACAATTTGCCTCATGGGGCTTTACAGCATACAACATCCCTCTGTCCTTTGGACCATCACAGTGGATAAGGAAACTCCCCCAAAAAAACCCTTTCACAGGGAAAAAAAAACGGTAGAAACCTCAGGAAGAGCAACTGAGGAGGGATCCCTCTTCCAGGACGGACAGACATGCAATAGATGTCGTACAGAACAGATCAACACAATAAATTTACAGTATTCCATATGACAAAATGATACATAAAGAGAGAGAGAGAGAGAGAGAGAGAGAGATGCAGGACAGACAGTAATGATAATAACTTACAATAACATTAAGTAATGATATCATAATAATAATTATGGCTATTGTGGTACAATATGTTGAAAGTATATATTAATATATGATAGTATATTTATGACAGTAATGATCATATGTGTATATTAACAGTAGAAGTATGACTAATAATAACAGCAACAGCAGGAGGCATCAGGCAGGACCATCACGACACAATCACGTCACACAATCAAGGCGTAGCTGCGATACGAGGTAACCTGCCAGACAGTGGAGCACAAAGGCTCCGGAGAAGAAGCTGAGTTAGTGACATGCAGTATGGCCGAGTTAGAGAGATGCAGTAACAGGACATGAGTGTTAGCAAAGGAGAGAGAGAAAATCTAACTGAGCTAACAATGCGTAGCATCTCCATATTGACAAAAAATGAAACATTATACTTATATGTGTGATATAAGCAACTAACTGATGTTAGCTCAAGTTGGTAGTCAACAACCTGGTTTCATACATCCAAAGAACTTCTATAAAAATGAACTGCTTGGCAGCCAGACCAGGCATCTAATTGAGACGGGTCATTATTTTTCAAAATGTGTTGCCACACCCGGCTAGTAAAAGGGACGGGGCGTTTAATTGGGACTAGACTATTAATTGAAGTCTTGGACTAAAATGTGTTTTACCACAACATTCACTGTAACCTATTAGAACCATTGTGAAATACATAAACAGAAATTACTACGTAATGGGTAACATGAATGATTAAGAATACATTTAAACAGTTTTTTGGCCTTATGGCCTTAAACACATTGTCTCATGGCATGCTGGGAAACTCCACCCATTTAGCCCTAACATGCCACAATATGTTATTTTCACAATATTGATAGTGTCGTTTTTTTTTGTTTTTGTTTTTTATTGGCCTTAAACTAATTAGACAAAATCAGCTTTATAAATTTTAATCCCATGAACTCAAAACACAAAAAATGTTATAAACATAAAGACATCATGTCAAGCACACACGAGATATGTTTCTGTGCCAAATGACATAAAGTTTTTATGTCATTTTGACAATCCGGGGCATTTGTGCAGACTTGACATTAAAATTTTGTGTCATGGGTGGATCATGCTTATTGTCAAATCATCATGCTCATCATGCTTATTGTCAAATCCTTAGCAAATTAACCATGGATCAGAATCATTATTTATCATTTTGCACCTGTACTTATCTATTGGTTTGTACTCTCCAATATTTTTTCTAGTATCAGAGGACACCCGTTCTATGGACGTGACAATTCAAGACAATGATGGAAGGGGCTTCTATACAGAGACTTTCCACTCTTCAGCATGGATTTACCAAGGAGATGATGTCGACTCAGAGGCCATTCCTCCCAGCCTCAACACCAGAACTCGAGCTGTCTCAAGTAAGCTGGAGAATATGATTTAACAAGAAAACTGACTTCATTAAGCTTATAGGCATGGGGAAAATTAATTTGATATTAAATCACAGTTAGAAGTTCTTTGATGGAAATTTAAACTCCATGCAGTGGCAATATTGTACACTGAACTAAGGCAGTGAATACATAAGTATCATCCCACACGGATTTAAACTTTCTCCTCCTTTTCAGTTCGTGAGAGGACTGTCAAGATAAGCAAAGGGACAGGAGAGTATCCATGGGGCTTTCGGATACAGTTTTCCAAACCCATTGTGGTTACAGAGGTCGACACAAGTAAGTGAATTCCTAGCTTCATGTCCAGTCATGTCCCCTGTAAAACCAAAAGCCAATATTGTTTCAACATAATGTTACATAACTTCTGTACCTACATTCCATGCAAAATCAAAAATCGCCACTGATATAACATTACATAATTAACATACTTAACCATAACAAACATACTTATTCTAACCCAAAACATTATGTTTTTTCTAAATCCAAACAAGTAGTTTTGCTGCCTAAACCTTATTACAACTCTTTCACAAGATTGACCATATGTTACAAGGTGTTTCAGCTGTGCATCACACAGAGATGCTGAATAGTGCCCTGTGCATCGCTATCAGATGCTAAGGGTTGGACAAAGTGTTGGTATTTGAGAACAGAGGCCTGTACTACGAAGCCACTTCAACTTACCCAGGATATCTTTTTGTAATTTGGCTTGACTAACCCATCACATTGGCTGTTTGGATAACTACAAAGCTGGTTATCAACTAGTTCAGTCAACTCTGGGTTTTCCTACCCAGTCACAAGCGTGTTCATGTGAAAGAGATGGGGGTGTTAATTACCAGTGAAATTAGTGGCACATCTTACCCACACTGTTACTGTGAAAATGGTGAGGTCTGACCATTTTTACAAAAACTGTGTGGGTGGGGGTGAGTTGAAATGTGTTTTAATGATACCAATACATTTATTTAACATGTAATTAAATATAACTTGGATTGCCAGTGATTTAAGTCAGTCAGTAAATTGTTTAATTGCATGACCTCCCTGCAGGGCCAGGGTTATCTGTATTGACCCCCCCCCCTCTACCTAACCTGCGTGTCTTTAGAGAGGCCTCATCTCACCACTGGGTTTTGGACTTGGCAAGTTTTTGTGTTTGTTCCGTAAGCTAAATGTTTAATTTGTGTTGTTTCAGATGGGGCTGCTGAGGAAGCGGGGTTGATGGTAGGAGACTATGTTCTTGCTGTCAATGGAACTGATGTCACCAGCATTCCCCATTCTGAGGCTGCTGATTTGGCCAGGCAAGGTACGCTGTTCCCAGGCCTGATAATCACGCTGCACACTTGTCGCACAGATTCAGAAAGCACTTGATGCACAGGACTTTTATGTAGAGCACACACAAATGTTTCAGCACTCTGAGACTATCAGAAAGCTTGGTTAAGGTTAGGAACATGTAGTGGGAGTTTGGGGTGACATATCTACTCTGACTTTTAATTCTGTTTTAAATGACTTTTGGAGGTTTTGACATTTTTACCAAATTAAAATAGTGACTGGTTAAGTAGAGAATCGAAATACTTAAATGGACATTAATTATATACAACATAACAAATAACACTATAATTATATTATAATGTTGTTGACATTGTAGGTCCAGATGTTCTAACGTTGACCATTGGGTCAGACATTGCTCGTGCTCCTAACATCCCAAGACCAGCATGTCGTGGTTATCTTCACAAGCGTACCCAGTCTGGTCTGATTAAAGGCTGGAGGAAGAGGTGGTTCGTACTCACACATGACTGCTGCCTTTACTACTACAGACACAAACGGGTGAGCAGGGAGCAATCATCATCATTATGTAGTCTAGTTTCTGAAAACAACATTCCACACACAAATAAAAAAAAGAAACAAGAAGTGCCCTTTTGACATTACTTCATGTTCATGACAGGATGAAGGCAAGAGGCGAGCTCTGTCAGCAGTCAAACTGGAAGGGGCTGAGGTGGGACCAGATATTTCCCTGGGAAAGCCATTTGTGTTCAAGTGTCGCCCTCAGTCCGGTAACCGAGTGTACTTCTTCTGTGCCACTTCCAACCAGGAGGTGAAAAGGTACAGTACAGAACTTCCGAACTCTCTAAAACAAAGACCATTTCAAAAACCTCATAGAAATCCAACGGCCCACCCATGGGCCCTCGTAAGGTTTTATTTGATGATTATGACACTGCTGTATTTATTGTTGTTTAAATGGTTTGCTTATATGACTTTTTGTAAAGCTATGCTCCTTGTTGTTTAATCAATGCAGACCGTTCAAAGATACAACCACCACAGCAGGTTTAATAAATGCTTCTGTCAGACAAACAAAAAACAATTTTACAGTTATAACTCACCTTAGAACCTTTAGAATAATCCACAAATCCATATTATGCCAACAAAAATACTACTCATACAGTCTTTATACACTCCCAAAGGTCCAGATGATCTAAAACCAGCAGAATATTTAGTCCAAAAACATTATTACATCCATGGATGTCCTTCACATATTATCCATAATGTTTTCATTCATTCATTTCCATAACTGGGGGGCTGGAGCATATCCCAGCTGACACTGGGCAAGAAGCAGGGTCAGGACAGGTTGCCAGATATTGCAGGGCTAACACATAGGAACAGACAACCATTCAAACTCACATTCACACCTACAGCCAATTTAGAGTCACCAGTTAACCTAACCTGCATGTCTTTGGACTGTGGGAGGAAGCCGGAGTATCTGGAGAAAACTCACACTGACACGGGGTGAACAGGGAAGCTCCCCACAGAAGGGCTTCCGCACCCTGGGTTTGAACCCCCCACCCTGGGTACAAACCAGGAACCCTCATGCTGTGAGGCGACAATGCTAACCACTGCACCACTGTGTATTTAGTATAATACGGTAACATAATAGTTTTGAATATGGTAGACACAAAATAAATGTGTCACATATGTCAACTTCTTGGTATCAAAATGGTGGCTGAACTCTGGCCTTTTAATTGACACTTCCTTACATTCATACTGAAAATGTAGGCCTCAATAGGCAATGAGGGCATTATAGACTATCATAAATGTACAGAAATGATAAACAAATGGCTCCTCTGTTTTCTTAAAAAAAACACTCTTTCTTATCAATGTAGGTTTTCTAGAACTGTTTTATGTACAGTAAGCTCCTAAACAGACATTTCTGTCTTTGCTGACTTGTTTTCGCTCTTAATCACATATGGTGAAAAATGTCTGTTTTCTGTGATATTGTTATCTACTTTGCATTTGGACCATGTGAGGCTTGGTGATATGACTCCATTGTATTTTATAGCAAATCAGCTAATACCTCCCTGTTGTAGTCATCTGCAAAATCGTTTTTCAAGAAAATACTCAGGCGAATTTTACAGGACCTGTTCTTATACGTATCTTACATTTTACACTAAATCTGAATGGAAATGTTTAAATAAAGAAAAGAAATAAAGAAATCATAATAACACTGACATATTTAAATATTATAAGGAGGTTGTCATGCCTGGTTAAATTGGGAATGTTTTCACCAGGAGGTGCAATATTATAGAATTTAGATTTTTTTTTTTTTTTGTGGGTGCCGGGTTTTCAAACAGTGATTTAATTTTAAAAAATGTCGCAGGTATGGATTTTTCATTCATTTTTTAAGATCAATCTTTGTGATTTTAGGTGGCTAGAGGCTATGGAGAAAGCTATTCATCCCATCACACAGGTAACATCTAAATCTGTCATAAATCGAATGGCCCTTGCTATAGCAAAAAAATAAATAAATTAAAAAGCAAAAAGTATGTTGTTGTGACAATATTTATCACAGAGGTGAATTAGAATGAATGAATGTGTCTGGCTGTCACTCACACTGGCTTATCACTAATATATTTAGCCCTGAGGCTTACACTAATCTCCTCAATTACCTCTCATGTTTCAGAACCACGTGTGGGTGGACGTCACCAGACACAACTCTAATCTGCCCCCGCTGGCTGTGAAAAACCCTGAGTGTCTCGGATTGCTTCATAAAATGGACAAAAGCAAGGACATGTGGGTACAGCACTATTGCATTCTGAAGGATGGCTGCCTCTCCTTCTACAGTGGTATCCGCGCAACTCATGCACATGGTATGAATACATGTCATGTTTTAGTGCTGGCATGCAATGTGGTGGCATTTTTGTGGGTGTGCAGAATCTAAAATAAAACTATGGAACATGAGGGCATTCACATTTACATATCTTTAATGGCAATTCTGGGATGAAAACCATCTTCCTTTTATATCCTTGTTAGCAGTTTAAGTTATATAGTATGATTATTTAGTATCATAGAAATGTACTATCTATTTAGCATGTATTAAGTCTCCTGAATGACAGTGGTTTATTAGTTGTGGGATTTTAAAATAAACATTGGCAAGATTTTAAAATGGTTACAATTGATGTCTTATCAAACAGTGGCCTATTTACACATCTATCAGATACTGAGATGTTGTTTGGAGCTGTGTTTTTGTCCACCTGTTGAATTTTTGGTCCAATATTAACTCCCCTTTTAGCTCTGGCTTGGTCTCCATCAACTCCTGAGAAAATATCTGCTGTTAAGTGTTCCACTTTCTGCACCAGCTAGTTGCTGACCTTGTCTGTTTGGTAATGTATAGTGTACAGTGGGCTTATTACGAGCAAAAACCTCCACGGTTGAAAAATGAAACCAATGCAGTGGTGCCAAAAAAAACCCCTGCAGCTCCATAAATGTACACTTGAGGGTGGCTCCAAGAGAGAGTGAATCCCCAAATGCTGAACTTCACAGCAAATGCCCAACTTTACAGCAGAAATAAACATGTGCACAGCCTGGTACAGAAATGGGTTTAGTGTCTATGGGTAATTTCAACATTCATGACAACTGTACAGGTGGTGAATTTTTTTTATAACTCACCCATTTACATTTAATTAAGGCTTAAAGTTGTGCATAATAAAGGGCGTGGTCACTTTGAGTCACAGACTGTCTCCCATGTGTCACCACAGCTAATTCATTCAAGTCAGACCCACACAGGTTATGCAGACTGTATCTGTCAATGTGAGATAATGTAGTCTGCATCAGAAGTTACAGATCAACTAACACAGGAGACAAATGTGACTGGTTGTTAGCATTTCCTCACATACAAACACATTGCTGTCATGACTTTTCTGACTTCTCTGTGTCTTCAACTAAGAGTGTGTGAGCATTTTGTTGCTGGATCCCAATTTAATCTGCTTTATAAAAAATATGCCCTGGCTTATTATAGCCAAAAATCTTTAATTTCAGTGACAAATATAGGGGTAAAAAGATTTTTGCTTTGGCTTTACCACTGTGAAACAGTCTCATACTATTCAGTTAGAGGCTCCATTACATAGAGTGCTGGGCAATTAATTCCAACCCAATCACCAGAAGAAAATGTTGGAATTGTACATTTCTGCAATCCACGGATGCGTTACATTTGTACATTATTATGTGTGCTTCCAAGTGCCTGGAAAACTGCAATAATTATATCAGTGTTTAAATCAGGTGATCATATGGTCATTAGTTATTACAGACCCATTAGCATACTTCCAGCAGTCAAGAACTGCAAATAAATGGATCAAAGTTTAATTTTTCTCCTACTGCCATTAAATGGATAAAATTATATCTTACAGACAGAAAACAATGTGTTCAGATTACCTCTCAAGTGGCTGACAATCATGTTGGTGAACCTCAAGGTTCAACTTTGGGTCCTCTGTTAGTTTGTTTATTAATGACCTACCTGAAGCTTGTCCACCTGTAACTTGTCAGATGTATGCGGACGACACCTCATATTTACATAAAAAAAACACAGAGCAAGCAGCAGAACAGCTATCTGCTTCAATGGTCAATATTTCTTTTTTTTTTTTAAGATTTTTTTAGGGCATTTTGCCTTTAATGGACAGGACAGGTAAGTTTGAAAGAGGCAGAGAGAGGGGGGATGACATGCAGCAAAGGGCCACAGGCTGGACTCGAACCCAGGCCGCTGTGGCAGCAGCTTTGTACATAGGGTGCCTGCTCTACCCACTAATCCACCGACGCCCCAGTGGTCAATATTTCTAATTGGTTAACAAGCTCTTGTTTACAGTAAAACACTATGTATGTTTTTCCTCAGAGTTTGTAAATAGAGATCCAGATCCAGACGTTACAGTAGCAGAGAAGAAGATTATCGGTAGTACATGAGTTTTAAGGCATAGGGATAGATTCGCAGCTGACATTCAAAAGACAAGTCAAAAAAAGTGGTGAACAGACTAAAATTGAATTTGGCAAATTTTAGACACATCAGGACCAACCTAACGACAGAGGCCTCAAAGTTGTCCTTCAATGCTATGATTTTTTCACACATGAACTACTGTCTGACCAGCTGGACTCAAACAGGCAAAACTGCACTAAAACCAGTAATAAGACTGTACAAACAGGTATTAAAAGCATTGGATTAACAGTCAAATTCATATCATCATTTCAAAATTTTAACAAAATATGATTTTTCAAATTTGCAGATGTTTTACTTGTATATAAAATTCTTCATGGCCTGGCTCCCCCTTTACTCAATGCATTAATTAAACAAAATCTACCAGATCTACCTCCAGGGGGGATTGTAAAATACCACACAGAAAGAGCAGCTTTGGACAGTCAGCCTTTTCCAACTGGGCAGAACGCACCTGGAACACTATACTCATAGAAATCAGGAACATCACAACTCTTAACTTATTCTCCAAAATAATAAAAGGATGGTTGGTGGACAATCAAACATGTTGTCATGATCTGAATACGTTTTAAGTCCTCCTTTCATTACTGTATGTTGGGGCTTATGTGCTTTTGTATGGTATTTTTTCCTTAATGTGCTTTGGTTTTATGGTGATATCACTGTCTTGCTAATGCTGTTGTCCTTGTTCTTTGCTTTGCTTTGTGATTCTTTGTGATTGTTTGTGGCTATGTGTTTTGGTCTATGTTGTGTTTTATGTTGTACTTTTGTATAGTACGTTCTTAATATTTTTGGTTATATGGTTATGTCATTGTTTTAATAATAGTGCTTATGTGTTGTTGTTTTTGCCTTTATGCCTTGTTATGTGCTTTTTTTATGTTTTTTTGTTTGCTCTGTGCTCATGTGCCCTCAGTCCACTTTTATCTGTGCTCATGTGTGCAAATTAGCCTGTATGGCTAAATCTGGCACATTTACATGACTTAAGTGGTCATGTTCATTGATGTGCACTGTCCCTTTCTAAATAAAATAAACATAAACATAAACAGCACTGTGATTAACATGTGGTTAGGTTTAGGCACAAAAACTACTTGGTTATGGTTAGGAAAAGATTATGTTTTAGCATAAAATACCCATTTTATGTTTTTTTTTTTTACCATTCTATGTAAAAAACAAAACAAAAAAACTTTACTTATAATGTTACTGAGTGCACTTGTGTCACATCAATCTTTTTCTAGACTTGTTTTTATATATGTGACCACTGTTTTCTCAGACATTGGTGAAGGAAATGTTAAACCCTGAACAGACAGTTATACTGATCACATCATCACACATCCTTTGTGTCGTCAGGTGGGATCTACCTCCAGGGGTACATGGTGCGAGAGCAGCCCTATGGATCCAAGAAATCCACCATTGAGCTGAAACCTCCTTCTGATGAGTTCAAGACTTTCCACCTCTGTGCTGAAAATCCTAATGAGAACAAACGGTAAGGAGCTGACTGGTTTTCATTCAGAAATTTTTCTCTAGAAGAACCTCAGTTATTAAGAATTTATGAGACTTTGGTGCAAGATTTTTCTTTGAATTTCCATCGTATTTTACAAAATGAGACATAAGCCAGATGATGGTTCACAACTATACAACAACTTCATTATAGTTCTTCATCTTTCTATAATCGATTTATTGTGCTAATCCACCTCCACAGTGATAAATACTTGGTTAATGTTAGGGAAAGATGACAGTCTTGGATAAATATCAAAAAAGTCACGAAGTCCTTCTCTTTGTATACCCACCATCTATTCTGATCACCTCCAAGTCAGATGTGGCTCAGGATGTAGAACAGGTCATCCAGTAACTGGAAGACCTGCAGTTTGATCCCCAGCTCCTCCAGTCTGCTTACCAAAGTGTCCTTGAGCAAAATAGTCAACCCCAAATTGGTGTGTGAATATGTATAAATGTTAAACTGAGGAGCAGCTGACACATTGTATAGACTCAGCCACCTGTGTATGAATATGTCTGTAAATGTGGCATGTAGTGAACAAGTGCTTTGAGTGGTTGGCAAAGTCCATTTCAACTTCACAATTTGGGCTGTATAAGAAGGTAACACTACCTGCTCTAAAAAAACAGTACTAATGAACATAATCCAGGGGGCTGTTTCCATTAAAATGTAAGTGGCAAAACAAATTAATAGTATATAAACATAATTTCTGGGAGATAGGGTTTTACCACTTCTCCCTCAAAGTTTGTAACACAATGGAAATAAAATGTCAACCTGGCACACTGGCTGCAAATTATATTTTAGACTGGACATTAAATCTCTGAGTGTAAAATTACCAGTTTTAGATTTAGATATTTTATTTAAGTTCTTGTATTGCTGCTTGTGCACAAATATGGTCACTTCAGGCTCCAAAAAACCAAGATGGCGAAGGCTGAAATGGCAAACTCAAGGCCTTAAAACAGGAGTCCACAAACCAGTGGGTGATAGTACGATAGCTACATCCATTATTTTTACAGTCTATGATTTTAGTCACCTGGAAAAAATCAATATCAGTCTCAGTGGAGTTATATTGAGAATATTTTCACCACTTTACCTTGATGCAGACTGCCCCTTTTCTTTGGGACTATTTTTGCATACTTGCTTCTATTTTCCCATGGATAAGTGCAACTGTGCTGCACACTGTATCATGCTGCAGAAAAGTAGTGATATGACAGCGATGATGAAATGCCGTTCAGTGTGTAGACCTGAGGATAACTTTATACATAAAAGGAACTTTTATGCAGAGAGAGAACGAACAGGCTGAAAGAAAGAAATACTTAGGAAAGGGCTGTCTGACGGCAAGATAAAATGGTAAAATATTCTCAATATAGCGTACAATTAAACTGATATGGATTATTTTAGGTGGGACTTTTTGAAGAGGCTAAAATACATTATTACTGACCCCATCCACAGCAGTACATAACTGCAACTTTCATGGTACTACTCCTGTCTGCCTCTCCAAACTGGGAGCATGCTGACTGATATCTACTGTAAGTCATACACTAACCATGGATTAGTACGTCAGACAACCTTACTTCAAAAAAATCCAAATTATCCCTTCAAAGGACAATCCACTGTGCCTTCTGAGCCACAGCTGCCCATTACTAGGTGTGTAATAGAGAGTGGGGAAAAAACCCAGTTGAGGACATTCAGAACAGGTGTTGTCATGTTAATGTTTCTCATGTTCTTTACAGGTGGATCATAGCTCTCAGAGCTTCAGTAAAGAAGTGGCTGCCTTTGCATCAGGCCCTTCAGGACTATGTGAACCAGCCATCAGAAGAGACCAGAATGTGAGACACAGCATAAACAGTGATATCCGTCTGACTGACATCCGTCTGACTCAGCCTGTGGACTGCTTGATGAGCCTCCTGCTTGCACATTACTGCACTTTGTTCCCTGTGCTGTCCCTTTTGTTTTGGAGGATAACTTCACTCAGCTGGAGAGAATCAGGCCACAATTAGTAGTGCCCTCAGTCTATGCAGCCTCATTTACATAAAGATCTACTGCAAATGGCAAAGTGCAAAAGCAAATGTGAGGGACGAGCACAAAAACTAAAAACACAACTTTATATTTTGCACGTCATTCCTCTTTAAATTTTTCCTTTATTTTTCTACCTTTGGTCATACAGTTTTTCTTTATTTAACCTCTTTAAACCTATTTAAATGTACAATTGGAACATTTCCATTTGTACATATATCTATGACCTAATGATTCTTAGATCAAACATAGTTTACCATTTTGTCTGTTCTTTTCTTTTTTTTTCTTTGAGAAATCATCCTCCACATTTTCAGCATCCCTGTGTCTAATGGCAGCACTTGCTAGCACTTTACCTAAGCAGGCAGATGGTTATGGACTGTTTGAGACATCTGGATTGTGCCATAAGGCTTTCAAAATAGACATGCAAGCCCAGTGAAAAATACTTAAGACATATCAGTTCAAAGGGCTTCACTCATAGTGTTGGGAATTTCCAAAATTCTCTAGAGGTTTCAGTTTGTGATATAAAATACTGACATTTCTGTGCTTTTATACTGAATCTGTGTGACTGTGTTTTGTTTTTACTGCTACATTGTAAACTGTTAAAATATAGATGTGCTCTCATACTTTTGATACAGCTGTTACTCACCGCGTAACAGATAGCAATGCATTCATTTGTTAGCCAAATAAATTATATGATCAAATCCTTCTGAGTCTTTGTCTGCTACTTAAAGAGGAGCATTTCACCTGCAAAATGACCATTTGTTAATCAGTTACCGCATTACCTTGAATTTGTGAAGAAAATATTATCACATGCCTCCATGGTGAACAGAAAATCCCAAAAGTTGAACATTCTTTATGAATGCAAGTAAAGGGGGACCACATTTAGCAACAGCAAAACTATATCAAAACATCAATTTAATCCGTCACAAAACTTGTTTAGTGTAATCTATGTCTCATTTATCTAGTCGTATCCTCAATACTTGTGAAACACATGAAGCTCAGCCTAGGTTCAATCAGGAAGACCTTCTCTGTGCTCACCCTTTCACATTTCTCTCCATCCCACTCTCACTACTCCCTCTCATCAGCTGACTATGGGTGTTCACTCTTCTAGTTATCCAATCAGCCAATTTTCTCAGCCAATCAGGATGCCACTGCAAAATTTTAAATCTGCTCTCTCTTCTGCTGATGCCAGCCATCATTTTAGGCGGAATCTTCACGCTGGCAATCACACACCTTACCTTTTTCTTTGCAGTCTCTTGTTGATAGTAACAGCCTTGTGCGATTCCTCAGCAGCAGCGGAATCATCTCTCACTCATCACATTCTCCAGTTCAGGCAATTTCGCCTGTTATAAGCCAGTATTGTCAACGTGCAACTTCAGCCTTCGTTTCTATCTCCAGTCTCAATCTCAGTGTCGTGTACGGATTCAAGATATGCACCCAAACTACACGTAACATGATCTGTTTCTTCAGGACACTTTGCATACGCTCACCCGGATTGCCACACACAGTCCCCGAGAAGCCCCTGACTGCAGTATGCAGTTTCGGGCGGAGCTCAACGTGGGCCCACGTGTGGGTAGAGACCATAGGTAGAGACACGAAAGTGTCTTCTGGCGCCTTCTCCTCCCTTCAACATGCTGTAGAGGGCAACATTAAGCTTTTTTTGCGTACAACCTGCCGGAATTTTAGAAGAGGGAGAAGAACAAGAAAAAGAAGAATAAAACTAAGAAGAACAAGTATGGAGGTAAGCTTGACTTTCATTAGGCTACGTTTAACTGGCTATGTTGTACCAGTCTATTGGTGTGTCTCAAATCACATACTTCCGTTAGTATACTTCTATGTAGTATACTATGTGCACTATGTACTCATTGGCGTAGTGTGCAAATTTCGACAGGGTAGTGATATCTCAAACCAAACACGGCTACTCACCGGAAACGACGACCGCAAATTAGCTAGTTAGCATACTAGCATTAGCATTTGCGTTGTTCTTTAACAGGGTTGTAAGTTATTGTTCGATAGTTAATTAAATAGGCATTAAGTAGGACCTACATTCAGACAGCCATCACTGATACAGAGTGTTGAAAAATAAGGCTCTGAAACCTTACACATTGCTAGTCATTGCCTTCAATGTAGGTCCTACTTAACACCTGTTTGTTGTTTGTTTGGTGTGGGTTTTACAGGTGACTGACAACGGTGATGCAGGCACATTGTGGTCATGACGGTTGGGGCTCAATCATCCTATTTGCTCTATTCTATGCCCTGATTAAAGAGGTCCTTGCGATGGCAGCTCCGTCCTGGCGGCACTCTGGGCCGTTTTCTCAGCCCTTGCGCTTACATTTGTCATGTTTTCAGACTGTCTGCAGTTCAGTGGTATGCCACACTGCTCAGTTCTGGTAATCACAGTTCCCAGTTGTAAATAGTTTAATGTAATCTCGTGCACATTAAGGGCATGCATAGTAGTTGGTAACTCATTTTGAGCTCAGCAAGATGGCCGCGTGGTCGCCCTCTCATACGCGGATGGCATCATTGCACCATAGATGCTCCGTTCGCATTCAGCAGTGATCCAGAGCATCATTTGTCTACTGCCTACAGGGGAAACACAGCCAGTCAGTATACTCTCAAAGATGCCCATGCAATCTCTAATCCTTGTAGTGACACTCGTCCAGTACAGTGGTAGGGCATTTATCATAAAGGACCCACTACACTACAATAATCTTGGTCCACTTATTGTTGAGAGAGATGCATTTAGTATCTAAATGATAGATGCTTGCTTGTCTTTATCATGCTGCTCAGTCATTTACATGGTCTTGGGGACCTCACGCAAATGCACAATCACGGTCTGTGGGACCTCAATGCTGTATGCACGAACACCCAAGGTCTTCGGGACCGCCCTCTGAATGCTCATACGTGGTCCTCGGGACCCCATGCAATACTTTCTGTTTGTCATATGGATCCAAGTGTCCTGAAGCCCCGACATAAAAAGTTGTTTGGCAAAACGTCATTTGAACTCTGTTTTTAGCCTCATTGTAGCCTGTAGCTTTCACTGCCTCTCTGTACACTTCAGGACACTTGGATCACTACGGACGAGCAGTATGGAGATATTTTGTGGTTTCGATTATGTGTTTTTGGACGTTTTAATCTGGGGCGCCATCAGCCTTGGGTGGAGTTGTGTTGCTACCCCCTCTCCCCTTGGATCTCCGCAAACTTCACCAGAGCCTCCCTCGGCATGAGGGTGAGTAGATAATGGCTGAATTTTCATTTTTGGGTGCACTATCCCTTTAATGTAAGGCCCCGTCCTAAGCTGATTGAAAATTTTGGTTTTCAGGGCCTTTAACTCTTGGTACTTAGTGGCTTTGTATTTTATATTAAACTTTGCATTGACTTGAAAACATGTTTAATTTTTTTTAAGATGATTAACACTTCATGTTTTCTCATCATAACAACAGAACCATTAACTGTTCATACTGCACAGCAATGTTTAGTGATCATCACCTTTTAGCTTAAACCACTCCAAGGTATTTATTCAGGGATGTGATCTCCCTCTCAGACAGAAACAAAACACTGTATGCTTCCTTCTGATCGTCTCAGAAATCTGTTTGAAATAAGCTTTAATCATCTAACAGTCATTGGTTAACATCAAGTGTACATTTTCCGTTTGGCTTAAGGAATCAATAGAAGTGCATAAGAGTGACTTTACATACAGTACATAGTGGAATGGTTTGCACACCCCTTGAGTTTGAGAACAAAGTTTTCAAATGTCAGAGAATAAAATCATTTGTTTGGCAGTAGTAGCTACTTTTAGCCACTATTGGTTTTATTGTTAGTAGCTGTTGAACATTTCCATTATTTGTATGTGATATGCAAAATCCCCACCCCACAATAGCCTGTTTACATGTGGCTTTATTTACACCTATTTGGTACCAAGAAATGTCTCAGACAGTAGCATTCAGCTTAAGTCAGCTCCTAATTTTTACTTCTCATATCTGTGATATGATCCTCATCATAAGTAACATGACATTGATGCTAATTTACATAATTAACAACAGTAGCCTTTACAGTAGTTCCCAATACAACAGCATTTAAGGACACCCATGCTATTCATTCACTTATTCATTATCCTTGACCATTTATCTTGTTAAGGGCCACAGAGAGCTGGAGCCTATCCCAGCTGTCATTGGACGAGAGATGGGGTACACCCTGAATATGTCGTCAGACTATCACAGGGCCGACCAATGGAAACAGCCATTCACGCTCACATTTACACCTACAGGAAATTTAGAGTCACCGATTAACTCAACCTGCATGTTTCTGGGCTGTGGGAGGAAGCCAACGCTGCCATGGGGAGAACCCAGAACCCTCTTGCTGTGAGGTGACAGTGCTAACTACTGCACTATACTGTGCAGCCCCATGACGCAGTTACACAAATAGAAAATTGTACTCTCACCTTATCAATTAGCCTCTCAACTAAGAAAATAACTAAAATAAATAAAGTGAGCTCAACAAATAAAGCAAAAGAATATTTCCACCCAACATGTACAAGAGGCCCACATTGTAGAATGACACTTTAATTGTGGCCCGTCCAAATCAGCAAAAGATATGGTGAAATATTTTGTGCTTCCATCCACTGCTGTTCTGCAAATATCAAGACAAAACATTGGTGGTACTAATTTTTCAGTCTGGTGCAATTAAAACCATTGAAGAAAGCACAAAGGGATGGTATAATTAAAGAGCTCCACTCAAATGTCAAACAAACAAAAACACTGTTGAAAATGTGATGAAAATACAGTGTTTCATGTACAGTATTTTATAGGGAAGCATGATATTGGATTTTTTGCTGATATCAGGTATGCTGATATATAACAAATTATTTGGCTGATAACCAATAATGACAGCGCTATATTTCAGTGATCATACAGTCTCTTCTGTAGTGGAATTAATATCATATTATACATACATGCTCTTATCATGATGGCCCACCAGCAGATGGAGACTAGGGCTGCAATGATTAGTCGACTAATCGATGACTAATCGACTATTAAAATAATTGGTGACTATTTTAGTAGTCGACTAATCTGTTTGAGTCATTTTTCATAGAAAAGTACTATTAAAGTACCCCAAAATACTCTTATTGCAGCTTCGTACGTTCAGATATTGGCAGCTTTACACACTCTCCCATGACGGTGAACTAAAACCCTTTTGCGTGAGTACGAAACAAGACATTAGATGACATCATTTTGGGGTTTGGGAGGGACAGGCCGACATTTTTCAACATTTTAACCCATTTTTCGATAAAACGATTGGTCTACTAATCGAAGAAATAATCAACAGATAGAGTGCCGAAGTCACGCCCCTTCCGGTGAAGCTCATGGGACCTTAGATCGGAAAAAATATGAATGGCAGTGAATGAGGAGAGAAATATTATCTTTTGTTCCCGTTTGAGTTGTGACATGAAATCCAAATATGTTGTTAATCAATTTAAAACATAAATTTTAAGGTCAAGAAAATCATACTTTGTGGTAAAACTGTTGAGATATAAGCTTTTGAAAAAACGTAATTAGAAAGACTACACAGGAGGCAGTCGCGTATGTGAGCTGCTTGGAGTGACTGCAACCTGGCACAAAACACACAGACATCTTCAATCATAAATCGATTAATCATAAAACAGTGGAATTTCAGCGGGGAGGCCAAGCTGCAGGAAGCGAGCGAAAGCTATGACGTCACATACGCGACCTCCTCCTGTGTACTCTTGAGTCTTTCTAATTAAAAAGCTTATATCTCAACAGTTTTACCACAAAGTATGACTTTCTTGACCTTAAAATGTATGTTTTAAATTCATTAACAACATATTTAGATTTCATGTCACAACTCAAAAGGGAACAAAAGATAATATTTCTCTCCTCATTCACTGCCATTCATATTTTTTCTGATCTAAGGTCCCATGAGCTCTACCGGAAGGGGCGTGACTTCGGCACTCTATTAGAAGAAAGAAAGAAAATAATTGTTAGTTGCCCTAATCAACCTTTGAAATGCTCAATAAATGGTGCAAAAACTCAAGGGGGGTACAGGTTTTCCCACTGTAAGACTGTAAGAGTTCACATGGCTTGCTTATGTACAATATTGCAGTGTTTAGTGTGAATGCCTAATTGGTGCCATGGAGGTGATGTTATCAAGGTGCACTGACGTTTCCAGAGGCAGTCTGTCGTAGATATCCAACAGTGCAATCAGCTGCACAAAACAATTTTTCTGCAATAGAGGCATTGGGAACACATCCATAACCAGCTGTAGGGGGAACATACACACTCATTAAAAAGACACACCTCAAAAATACAGTTTTGTGTGCCTATAACCAATGTACAAAACTAAAAATGCACCAAAATGGTTTTCTAAAGGCAACATATTCCCAACACATGTTTGCCAACAATAATCAATAAACAGATGCAAAAAAGACTGAAGTGATACTCAACTTATATTCTTCTATCAGTCTGGGTTCTGCAGAGGAACTCTCACTCTCCATCTGTGGTGGATGATACTGTGGGAGTACTTTTAAAAGTTTTCACAGATGTTTTCTTAACTTCCAACATGTAAACTGGTCCCTTCTGTTACCAACAATGATTAAAGTTGCTGTTCTCTGTAAAGGATCCACTTACAACATCCACCTTTTAAACTTGAGAAGTTTACTGTTTGATAGTGAGGATTTTTTCAAGTCAAATCTTAATACAGTACAAATATGGCATCATACATACACTGACAGAGGTATTGTCCTGTCCATACGAGCAATGAAGTGATCCCTGTTGTGCCACTAACTTTAAGAGATGAAATTCAACAGTCCTAAAGCCAAAATGACAAATTGGAAAATAATTTCTCTCCCCAATCTTTTACAGAGTAGTCACGTTAGGAAGGGATTGGTTTAGGCAGTGGCGTGGGGTCCATTAAGGGTGTCGGGGTCCTGCCTCTCCTGGACTGGAGGAGCCAGGGATCAAACCCTGATCTTCTGGTTAGTGGACGACCCACTTTTACTCCTGAGCCAACTTGTTGTGTTGTATGTGTAAAATATTTAAGTTGTCACTCTCACAGAATTCCTAACATTATTACAGAATCATGTAATGACTAATAAAAAGTGCTGTCTGCTAAAGGGTGCACTTTTCTCAGCCCAATGGCGGTATATGTGTAATATGTTCAGTTTTTCCAGGTGTTTTTTTTGTTGATTGACAACACATGCCAAAAATAATGGGATCTGAGGTGTAAAATATTACACCCAAGACTTGTCTTTCACCCAACTCAGTGGCTTAGGATGGATTATGTCTGTTAAAATTAGCTCGGGTGGGTTGATAATATTTTGCCCTAGTTTGTTATTGTCCAGACATTTTCCTTTAATTTTCTTCAACATTAAAACTCTTTTTTAGCTAAAAAATATGTTTTTGTACCAATCTGGCATCACTGTAGTGACTAGAATGCTACTTGACCAGGCTGGTCAACCACCGGCTTCAGAACAACCCACAGCAAGGCGATTTAAGATTACAGAAATATCTGTAGAAATATCCAACATATATTTGTGAATCTGGGTACATTTTATGAACCTAAAAATATAAGGTTATTATTAGAGCTTCAGAGAGGTGGGAATGAGAACAGGCAGGCAGGTTTCAGGTCTGTACAGAGTACTGAACAAAAAACACCATCACATCACAGACAGTATAATAACATCCAAAAAACAAATTTCCCTCTCAGTGGTTTCTGTGACATGAGAAATACTTTTAAAATACTTATCTTTCAAAATACAACTAGAATTACTGCCTTGCAGTCGTAAGCCTCCGCAAACATCCGGACTCATATGCAGCTATGACAGTTGAAATATGAATGATACTGCATGGAAGCTACATATTGTAAATTAGGGATGCTTCACACACATCTTCAAACTGACAGCACAGAAGATCTATACAATCAGCACATTTTTAAGATGTGTGTCACCGATAAAGTGTCTGAACATTTGTCACCCCTTCTGTTCCTGAGGTATGACGTTCAATAATGGCCAGAAGTGTTTTTGCTTAACATTATGATGTCAGAGTGAAGTTGACCTTTGACCTTTTGCATATTAAATGTCATCACTTCACCATTTTATACTATTAGACATTTGTTTTAAATTTTGTCATAATTAGCACATGAATTCTTAAGTTATGACTGAAAACATGTTTTGTGAGGCTACAGTGATCTTGACCTTTGACCTTCAACCACCAAATTGTAATCAGTACATCCTTAATTCCAAGTGGATGCTTGTGCCAAATTTGAGGAGACTCCCTGAGGGCCTTCTTGAGATACCGCATTCACAAGAATGAGACAGAGACAAAGGCACAGTGACCTTGACTTTTGACAACCAAAATCTAATCAGTTCATCCTTAAGTTTAAATGGACGTTTGTGCCAAATTTGAAGAATTTCCCTCAAGGTATTCTTGCGATATTGCATTCACAAGAATTAAACTGATGAGGTCACTGTAACTTTTGACCTATGACCATCAAATTTTAATCAGTTCATCATTAAGTCCAAGTGGACGTTTGTGACAAATTTGAAGAAATTCCCTGAAAGTGTTCAGGAGAATGGGACGGACATAGAATGGCTAAACATGAGTTAAAAACAATAAAAATAAAACATACAGGCATACAGATGTATGGACAGAAAACTCGTAAACTTGACGCCTCCAGCCACGGCTATTGCTGGCATATGCTGCCATAAAAACCTCCAAAATACACAAAGCTACCCATAGAGCTGTAACCTAGAGGAAAAGTCACACCATGCCACTGCTTTTGGGGTCTCCTGGTGACAAGTGGTCTGGGGAGTTGATAATGTAATTGAAAAGTCCCTGGTTGTCTGACTGGCAGACATTGCATGTCATGCCAAGAAAAATTAATGTATTATAAAAGAGGGAGGGATCACTTTAGCATAAGTATGGAAAGAGGAAATGATTAGAACAAACAATAACTCTTTAAATGTACATATGTCCTGGTAGTGCTGTATTAAGATGGACTTTAATTAACACAGCTTTACCTTTACTTTAACAGGTGAGTATCACTGAGTTGTTTTTTTTACACACATCTTTCTCCTGGTAAATAAGAAGTTAAAAACACAATGATATTTTCCAACAGCAATAAATCAATAAATTAGCAACGTAGTCAATGTATTATCTTGCTAATTTGACAGTTGTATGTAGTGTCATAATCTGGAGAAAAAAATCACAAAACTTCCACTAACACGACTCCTCACAGAAAACTCTTATTGGACCGATAGCGATGGTGCATTTTAAAGCTGATACAGTATGGGATATGTGCTTTCATCAGCTGTAAACTGATATATTAGTGTGTCTCTGACCAGTACAAACACACAACACTGTCAATAAATAGGTTCACTAGTTATTGCTAAATTTATATAATTCACATTTTAAATCTCAACAACCTCATTACAATGTGAGGAGTGATTGGAGGATTTTCTTCACAACATTATGTGTACAGTACAAGGTAAACCCCCCAGTTAATAATATAACAAGATTATCAGACTGCCCTCTGAGAGAACAACTTGTAATCTGAGTAGAAAGAACCCAAGCTGGAAATAGCACCTAAATCCCCAAAAGGGTGAAAGACGCCTAAAAAAAAAAAAAAAACAGCCTTCCACTGTGCTTTCATGTCTTGTTCCTGGTAAACATGCGCTCCCCTCGCAGGGTGAGGTGCTGCAGTTGGTACTGTAACACTTCAGTGTCTGATGACTCTTTAATGCTTATTTTGTCCAGATTAAGGTAGTCCAGAGACTTGGACTGAGCCCTCTTCCCTTTAAGCAGACAGAGAGGGAGTGGCGCATGTAGACCCCTACCAGGCTCCCCGTTGGCCAGGGACCTAAGGAACGTGTCGCTAGAGCTGGGCATACGCCTCCGTCTTCGCCCATTGGCAGCAGGAATGTCGTAGGGTTGGTAGTAGCGACTTTTGCCTTTGCAGATTCGTGAAGAGCGGTGGATACCCAAGTCCACAGACTTTGGGACAGTGCTCTGGATGGAGCTGGACATGGCCTCTGATACAGAGCCCTTCTCTGGAGTGCCCTCTGACCACTTGTGGGCCAGCTTGAGCAGCTCCTCACCAGTGGTGAAGCCTACCAGATAGTTTGAGTCCATGTGGAGGATCTGGTATCCTGCAACAGTACCTCTGATGGGTGAACATGGGGTGCTGGCACAGCGAGGTCTCTCTGCTTCTGGTTTCAATGTGGCTTTGATTTCAGCTGCAGGAAGAATGGAGACGTGTGTCCTTGACACTCCACTGATATCCATTTCCATCCTTACAGACATATCCTGACTGATGAGAGGTGGAGAAAAAAACATCAGTTGAGCCACTCTTTTGTCTGAGACCGATACAGAAGTTAAACAAAGCACTCAAAAGCCATATTTACTTAACATGTTAAAGGAATACTTCACCAACAAAATGACCATTTGTATCTCATTTACCAGAGGTGGGCCCAAGTCATTGTTTTGCAAGTCACAAGTAAGTCTTAAGTCTTTGCAGTCAGTTCTCAAGTCAAGATAGGCAAGTTCCGAGTGGAGTCCCAAGACCTCAGTTCCACACAAGCCATAATAACCTTTTCACCAAATTGAATGCCATTTTAACCACAAAGAAAAAATATATTAGATTTACAAAAAGCGTGAAGGCTTTTTCCAAATGTGTAGTTTGTTGCAAGTTGTTGCATCTCCATCTGTAATTTTCAAACTGCATCTTTTCATTTCAGTGGAGTTGCTCGCCTGGCGCATATCCCAGCTGCAAGTTCTTACTCAGCTCATAGACTTTACATTGTGATGACATCACAGATTTTTAAATTGCTTACTTGGCTCCAGGAAAGTTTTATAAATATGAAACTTCCATGGATCAAAAATTAACTATAGAAAGAGTCATAACTCCGTGTTTGCAGTTGGAGGTGTCCTGTCAACAGTTTTACAGACATTCCTTTTAAAATGGTGGTCTATGAGGAAAATGCTTTTGCTGCAATACCATGAGTGACCACTGGGGGAAATTGGCTGCAAGGCTGAGCAGTGTTCATGGGGTCCTAGATTGAATGAAACTATCCTTGGTATATTTTTTTTTCCAACTTGCACTCAGTAAGGTAACAGTTGTTCTTTATGGTTCTCTTCTGCAACTTGATTGGATACTGTCAGATTGGTGTTTACACTACATGCCACATTCACCCATTTACACACACTGTGTACAAGGTGCCATCTGCTACTCAGTAACCATTTACACACACTCACACACCGATGGAACAGCCATCAGGAGCACTTTGGGTACAGTATCTTACCCAAGAACACTTAGACATGCGGACCGGAGGAGCCGGGGATTGAACTTCCGATCTTCCAACTAATGGATGACTGATGATGATTTTGAACAAGCTGCAGGGTGACATAGTAGACTGAATTGCAGCTCCTCTGCTCCAACCCAAATGCACTTTGAGGTACTGACATTTGGCACAGACAGATTTAACGTAAATCAGTACACAGTAGTAGCGACATAATTTGGTTGGTACCCCTAAAAGTACATAGTTCAGAACCCCTCTCTGTGCTCAATGCTTCCTAAACACATACATGTTCACTAAAACCTTAAGATATAAAACATTGCTGCTTTTGTGCCTAAGCATGGGCTGAGAGATCAAACACGTGTGTGCAGTCACACACATGTGATGAGACTTCTTGTAATGACATGTTTTAATTCTTAATGTTTTAGCAAAAAAGTGTTTTGTTTAAGTTTGTAAACAGGTGTTTTGATATAGTTTTGCTGTAATCAAATATGGAGACCTCGATTCATGAAGAATGTTCGCCTATTTTGAATTCTACAGTCACTGTGGAGGCATGCAAAAAATAAGAGCTATTTCATAAATTCAAGGTAGCACATGATGAGTAATTTATATACAAATGGTCATCTTGCAGGTGAAGTATTCCTTTGAGCTATGAGATTAAGTTGCTCCTAAATGAACAGATCAGTCCTAACTTGAAGAATCTTTACTTCTCCTCTAACTGTCACAAACTGTATACTTCATAGATTTTAATGAGCTTTTTATTAGGGATATTATGATTGTGGTGGAATTCACACACGCACGCACGCACGCACGCACGCACACACACACACACACACACACACACACACAAATCAAAGCAGCCCAGTTACAAATCAGAGATAAAGATTTCACAGCAGACAGCTCTGGTGAAATGCAGTCTGCAGCACTGATGGACTTGGAATATCTGAGAATGTCACACTGAGTTCACACTGGACGCGGAGGTGCCCAGATCTTGTACACTGTCGCGCAGCCATCCATCAGCAGCCACCTGGCAGTTCACATCAGAAGCGCATTTCTTTTTGCCTTTTTAATGACAGGACAGCTGGAAATAGACAGGATGGTTGGGAGAGAGAGCGGGGATGACATACAGCAAAGGGCCACAGGTCAGAGTTGCACCCGAGCTGCTGCACAGGCCTCAACCTATATGGAGCGCACACTCTACCAGGTGAGCTAGCGGTTGCCCCAGAAGTGCATTTCTCTGTGCAGGTCAGCAAGTGATTCTGCTCTCTGCTATGTTTAAATCACACATGGAGCTTTGTCTCTAGCACTTTTGCCACTGCACAAAAAATCAGCTAATGCCCACTAACATCTGGCTTTTTAATGTAATGGGAAAGTTTTCAATTGGCATTCAAACCTGGGTCAAATGACTCCACAGCAGTCACAACTGTGGCAGTCAGAGCTCCGGCTCTGATCAGCATTGATGGAAACACAACACCCACGTGAATGCACTAATTTTAGCCCCTTAACCATCTAAATAAAAAGACGCGTCACTACAAATACTGTCCGTCTCAACTCAGGCAGCACTCAAACATCAATCCAAATTAGTCTTCACCAAGTTTGAAAGATAAACTGAATAAGTAAGAGATAAATAAAAAGAAGTAACCACCTCCACGCTGCTGTCCACTAACCTGTTTTCCGGCCTGTCTGTATGTTGTGCGTGACACACCAAAAAAACAAAAACAAAACAAAAAAACCCACACAAAAAGGCATGATGCAGAGCTGTGTACACAGCTCTGGTCTACTGGCAGCAGGAAAGGAGTTTACAGCCTAGCTTTAGTGGGTTTACCCATGTTTTAAAAAAATCTGCCTACACACGCTTATTTTGGTGGAAAAGGTGTATCTGTCTGCTTGTGTGTGCATGTGAGTGTGTGTCCACTAGTCTCTCTCGCTCTCTTCTTAAAATATGTGGAAGCATGGGAGGCATATTCTATCATTTATCATAATCAGATTATGTATGTAATATCTGATATATATCCTTTATATCATTCAAAATTGATTATCAATGTGTTTTCCTGCCAGATTCACTTGCGTAAAAAATAGACCAGATGCCGAAACTGCCACTGCAGATCATGAGCCAACCAGGGCGCTTGGCACTGTGCTGTGTCCATTGTGAATGGCCCAGTCAGTTAAAATGAGCGCCGAAAGCAAGCAGGCAGCCCTCTACTGAAAATCAGTGTGCTTCATGATGCTTGATGCTTGATGATGCCTGTCCAGTGTGAATCAGACATCAGTCTGTCTGTCAAAGTGATTCATCAAACCAAAAATGTGGTCTTCAGACCTCACTTTGTTCAGCAGTTCATAAATAGATACAACTGATTTCATGACCAATACTGGATTTACTGGTGTAGTCTGTGTTAGCGATAGGACATATGTATGTATAATAGCGTGTTCTTCATCTGGATAAAATATCACTGTATCAATGTGCAGATGGTGTTTGATGTCTGCTAAACTCTGTATGACATCATTATTTTACTTTGTTTCACAAATTAAAACACTGACACAGTTTAGAAAAACTTATAATAATAATATAATCCCTTAATTGTCTTATCAAGGAAACTAGCAAACTTCTGCAATGTGATGATTTTTTTTCTGTTTTGCACTATTTTAAATGAGATATCTTTGGGTTTTGGAGAAATTGTAATGGTTATGTTTTACTAAAACTTTTATAGACCAAACAATCAGTTTTGCAGATTGATCCATAATGTAAATCTATCTGCTTTAATGTATCTAAATTTCTCCCTTGTGCTCCTGTATATTGACAGATAATCACATTCACTGCTACAAACCAGTCTCCTGTTAACCAGTGACTTTGGTTATTCATCAACATCACTGTAAATGTGCCAGTGTTAGCCAACAGGCTAATTTTTAACTGTTGTCCCTTGGCCTGATGTTAAATTGGCCATTAATAACTCAGTGAGTAAACTCATTCATAGAAATTATGACATCCATAATACAGTAACAGGGGTCAGTCTAATCTATTCTCATTTTTCTCTCTCTGATGCTCAACATGAACCAATCTGTTAACTGCAATTATCTCTAAATTAAAAACAGACTAGACCCAAACATTAATAATAAGACCTCACCTGACCCATAACTGAATGCATGCTCAAAGCTGCTGCTGGGCAGTGTCGGCAAAGCTTGGGGTGGAGGATACTGTTGAGACTTTTCATGAATACAGAGGAGAAGAACCACTGAGAAGCCTTTAAGTGGTGCCTCAACACTGCCCTTTTTCTTTGACTTACTGTCACAAATTATTATCAAAATGACTGGTTATCATATCATTTTGAGTAGAGATACAAATAATATGAATTTCATATATAATTGAAGAACTTTGAGGTAAAACTTGTCAGAGCAGCATTGACTCTGTACATCTAGAACCACTTAAACCTCACTGCAGAACACGGTCCCTCATTTTTACAAAGTAATTCATGTGTTGACTCAGCAGGGATAACAGTAAATGAGAAAAGTCAATCTACAGGAGAATAAATATCTGCAAGCAATACAGATTGACTAATAGTCTCAGCCTACTGCATTATATTCCATCATATTTTTATTTTGAACTGTCACCTGCAGTCTGAATTTTCTGTTTTCCCTTACATGAATCAAATCATTTCCACCATAAATTGATGCAGAAAACTTTACCAGAATGCAGAAAATTAAGTGTTTGAGGCTCAAAGGGGGGAAATTTGATATATCAATCCTTCAATGTTTAAATGAAATGACCCTCTTGTCTACATCACTGTATGAGCACTGAAATAAATGATTACATAAGTAGCCTAAATAAGAAAAAGATGTGATATTGTGTGTAACTTCATTTTTTATTAATAATTATAAGGGGCTTGCCCTTTTTTTTACTTGAGCACCTGCCTCCAAATGTCTGTGCATGGCATTGGCAGTTTGTGATTCGCTATTTTAATGCTTAAAATGCACCCCATCTCTGACTTCATCTGATACTGCTCTAAAGAGACAAATAACT